CACTGTACACAATACACTGTCTGCGCAACACACTGCACAATATGTGGCCCTGTTATTCCTATTTTATTTTGCATTCCGCTCTTATCTGATAATCATATTGATGTTTTCTCTGCAGTTATGGGTCTATGCCTACTTTCCCAGGCTTGCACCTGTGCCAGACGCGGAGACCCCCCTCGTCGTCCCGTTCTCGCGACGCTTCGATGGGAGATGCGTGCGGAGTCCACGAGAGACATTTAGCTTCTTTCGCCGCTACTTCGACACTATCACCCCCGCCGAGGTATGTTTTATTTCAGAATTTATCTAAGCTTTGCTTTTCACTGCATATTTCAATAATGATAGATAACAAACTGTATGTCATTTTTAGATCACTTGGCAGCCTTGGGCTCCGTTGCCGGCGACGATGCGGGACCGATTTGTCGGCGCTGAGGAGACCTCGCGTTTCCGGATCTTACTGGAGGGCCTGGTCTGTCGGGCTTGGTACTTGGGTGAGCGTTTCCTACGCCAGACCCTAGGGTTACCTGAGCAGATAGTCCCGGTTCACCCTCCTGAGGACATGAGGGAGACCGAGAGACTCACTACCGAGCAAACGGCCGATTATACTATCGGCTGGGAGGCGACCCGCTTCAGAGGCGTCGGCGACTATAAAGAGTACGTGCGGACATACATTATGCGGTCTCTGAGTGGCGGTCGTCGAGCTGAGGGAGCTAGGCTCGTGGCGCCAGCAGCTAGGGCAGGAGCGGGAGCTGGAGCAGGAGCTTCGAAGAAGGGCTCGAGTTCATGGTCGGGGCGGAGTTCAGGGAGGACGGGGGACCGGTTGGCTTGTTCTGCCCACTTTACTGACATACAGAGGGCAGGATGGGGCAACCTACCAGATCCTCTTTGCTCCTTCCCCGGCTGGTCATGAGTTAGCCGGTATACCCGACTTGCCTCCGGTATGTATTACTTCATTTTGCATCTTGTATTGGAATTTCATTTCAGTTTATTTGATATTTCGCGGAATACTAATATATCTTGTACTTTGCAGGCGTCCTCCGAGTACACCCGGCAGTCCGTGGAGTTGAAAGCCTCCATGATGGGGATGCTACAGCGGACCTTTGACCTTCTGGCCCTCTACAGCATTTCGGTATGTTCTTCTGACCACTGTCTCAAACCATTCATACACTGCTTCACATAATCTGATGCACGACACAACACCTGATACACTGATCTCACAGCATCTGATACACTGCATACACTGCATTTATACACTACACTCTGCACTGATAAACTGCCCACGGCATTCACACACTGTGTACTGCATTCTGCACTGATAAACTGCTCACGGCATTCACACACTGTACTCATACACTGCATTCTGCACTGATAAACTGTCCACAGTATTCACACACTGTACTCATACACTGCATTCTGCACTGATAAACTCACCAAGCGCTCAATCGGTGACGTCTGAGTCTTAAGGTCGGTCA